GTTATTGGATATGATTCTATGAGCAAAACCATTGCGCTTCTGGTGAGTGCAATCATACAGCAAACCCTTATCACGGAGTCACTTGCACAGAGATTTTACGGAATACTTTGCACTTTTATTTACTCATCAATATTTACAAGTGTATCACCATAATAATTTGTTTTTGGATTATTCACTATTGTCACCATTGGAAATTTCAGTCACTAATTATCTCGTCAATATCTGACGAAACACTTTATGTTCTGTGGTCACTCCAGCGCTCAATCATTTTGTGCTTCACTTTTACATATTGTTACTTTCATGAATTAAGTGCTGCATTATATACATATGGAATGGATTGTTTAGGTTTCTCCTTTCATATAAATCTAGACAATATTGTATAATCTGATTGTATGGTGTATGGTCCGCTGTTCACTAACCCCCTCTGTAACCCTAACACTAATCTTCACTGTAACCATCACGCTGCCCTTCCCTGTAATGTAACAAGAACTCTTTCTGTAACTGTAGCCCTAAAGCCCCATACACACAATGAGAATATTGCATGAATGATCGGTCATTTTTTTTTTGCATGCTAGTCTGATATCGAAAGTGGAGAGGTTACTAAAGTTACCAAAATTCTTGTACGACAGAAAGAAAATTCAGATGTGATCTAATATATTTGTATTGTATTTTCATCTGAAAACTCTATTGGTTAAACAAAAAAATCGTACGATCTGGTATTGTGCAAGAAATATATTCATGCTTGTCCCTTCAAATAATTTTGGATGAAAGCTGTGTACTAACAATCAGATTATTGTACGATTGCTTCAAAAGCGGTATTTTTCATACGATTTTCTGATCATGTGTCATAGGCTTTACCTTCACACTGACCATCCCCGTAAACCTAACATTTTCCCTTCATGCAATGGCACAGTAGGTTGCCAGCACCCAGGGCAGGGCAAGTATTGTGCCCCCTAACCCTTGGACTCCTTAAATCCCTTCAGGAATATATTATCTATATATACTGTATACATATATTAGGGAACTTACCTTACACTTTCCTTGCAAATCCCATCCCCTTCCAGCACAAATCTCTGTGACCCCTCCCCCCAATCCATCCTCCAAACACAAATTCCTCCTTCCTACACAAATTCGCCCCTCCCAGCGCAAATCCTCTTCCCACTTCTAGCACAAATCCTCCCTCTCCAATCCCCCTTCTGCTAGTACAAATCCTCCCTTTCCAATCCCCCTTCTGCTAGTACAAATCCTCCCTTTCCAATCCCCCTTCTGCTAGCACAAATCTCTGCGACTCCTCCCCCCAGTCCATCCTCCCAGCACAAATTCCTCCTAACACAAATTCCCCTCTCAGTGCAAATCCTCTTCCCACTTCTAGTACAAATCCTCCCTCTCCAATCCCCCTTTTTCTAGCACAAACCCATCCTCTCTAATCCCCATTTTTCTAGCACAATTCCTCCTCTCTCCAATCCTCCTTCTGCTAGCACAAATCCTCCCTCTCCAATCCTCCTTCTGCTAGCACAAATCCTCCCTCTCCAATCGCTCTTTTTCTAGCACAAATCCTCCCTCTCCAATCCTCCTTCTGCTAGCACAAATCCTCCCTCTCCAATCCTCCTTCTGCTAGCACAAATCCTCCCTCTCCAATCGCTCTTTTTCTAGCACAAATCCTCCCTCTCCAATCGCTCTTTTTCTAGCACAAATCCTCCCTCTCCAATCCCCCTTCTGCTAGCACAAATCTCTGCAACCCCTCCCCCCAATTCACCCTCCCAGCACAAATTCCTCCTTCTAACACAAATTCCCCCCTCCCAGTGCAAATCCTCTTCCCACTTCTAGCACACATCCTCCCTCTCCAATCCCCCTTTTTCTATCACAAACACGTCCTCTCCAATCCCCCTTCTTCTAGCACAAATCCTTCCTTTCCAATCCCCCTCCTAGCACAAATCCTTCTTCCTTCAAGCACCTCTCCCCCTTTTAGCATAAATCTTTCCCCTCCCAAATCACCACAAATTCTCTTATCAACTTCCCCCCATCCCCATCACTCCTCTGAGCAAAAATCCACCCCTAGCACAAATCTTAACTGCCCTCCACCCCTCCAGATCATACACCCCCCCCCTCCCCCCCAGTGCAATTTTCCCTCCCTGAACCCTGAAACAGACCTTAGATCAGTGTGGCTCAATACAGGGGAACATCCCTCCTCCTCTTCTACTCTCTTTCTCTTCTGCTTGATATATTTCAGAGCTGATGGGCAGCCCAGCTTCCCTTGGCTCTGATGTGTATTGTTCTTACAGGTAGCAGGGAGTGATGCTAGCTGCTACAAAGGGGAAGATTGTGTACCTAGGGACCCGGGGCACCCTGCAGGAGATGAGGTGCAGGTGGTCTGGGTGCCCAGCACTGCCAGGGGAATTTGTGAAGCCAAGTGTCAGAATTAATCCTTGTTCTAGAAATATTATTCATTCACATCCACTACATAATGGCCCTGTTATCTATTTTTCATGAAACCAATTCTTATTTACCAATTGTGCCTCTATGTATTGTCTTCCATGAGCTCATGAACCTCTCCTTTCTCCTCCTCAACTCCATGTGTTTGGCACAAGCAGCGCACATTAGTTGCAGTCATGTGTACTGCTCAATGCACACTTCAAATCCAACATCCCATAGTCCTTGGTCCCCAGTCCACCTTGGGAGGGAACCAGAGTGAATGGCTATGTTCTCACACATAATGGGACCACAGAGACGAAATGTATCCACCCTCTAAAAGGACATTTTCCCCCCTATATGTCACTTTTGCTATACATATAAAAATAAAAACATGAAACCTCCCCAAAAAACCATACCAGACCTTTTGGATCTAGGATGGATTGTAAAGAGGATCCCAGATATTTGCATCCCCTCCATGTGAATGAGTAAGAGGTACATAGCCCCCTACCCATTCACAAAAAAAGTCAGGTTTAAATAAACACACAGGTTTTGACAGGTCTTTTTAAAAATCAAGCGTTGTAAATCTAGCTTCAGTCACACTGACGGTTGTAAGGAAAAACACATCTACTCATGTCACACTCCTGAAGCTAATGATAGCTCTCCAGAGCTGTCAGTAGATTTATGTACAAGGGGGAAAAGCTGTGCTGACTTAACCGGCCAAATGTGGACCTGGTTGTATTTGGTCTATAGCCATGGCCATATATTTTTTTTCAATGATGTCACCACCACCTGCCCCTTTGCTTACTTGGCTGGGCATTCCCGGCCATGTAAGTGAATGGAGCTAGTGACATCACTTGTAGTAAAGGGCTTGGCAGTGCCAGCACCCACCGGTGTCCTTAACAACCAATGACAATCTATCATGTATAATAGCGGTAGTATTAGCGCTATCATACACAACGTTTGACTCCCACCAACACAGGTAAATGTTCAGGCGTTCATCCAAACGTCCAGACCGCCATAGTTCAGTCCAAACTTGTGTTTGGACTGAACCTTAAGCTCATCACCCACGACATACAAAGCATCTACAACTCTGCCCCAAGCAACAACATCAACCTCAAAATATCATTTAAACTATCCGCTCTGCTCCTACTATCTTCCTAATCTCTAGCTCCCTTGTCACCTCCTCCTATACTCACCTCCATGACTTCTCCAGAGCCTTTTCTATCCTCTGGAACTCTCTACCCCTACCCCAATCTGTCTGATTTTCTCCTACTTTGTCCACCTTCAGGAGCCTGAACCCTTTCTCACCTCTGCCTAACAACTAGACATGTGCAGAACAAAAAAATTTGTTTCCTTTTGTTTTGTTTATTCATTTTCATTAGTTTTGTTTCGTCTATTCATTTTCAACCAAATTCAAATTTTACAATGGATTCAAAGTATTCGAATCAAATTCAAATCAGAAATATCGAATTGATCTGAATTCATTGTGAAGAATAGCTGGGTTTCTTTTTCTATTTGAAAAATAGAAAAGATTTTTTCTATTTATATATATTTATATTTTTGAAGTTCGAATTTCAGAAGACGGTTGTATTCTTTCTAGTCTATTCTAGTCTGTTCTATTCTATTTTTCTATTCTTTTTTATTATTTATTTTCTATTTTATTCCTTTATTTGCTATTCTTTTTTATTCTTTTATTTTCTGTTCTATTCTATTCTGTTCTATTTTACTCTATTATTTTCTATTCTATTCTGTTTTATCATATTCTACTTTTTTTAAATTCCAGTTTTGGAAGACGGCTAAAGTCTTTTTATTTTATTTTATTCTATTCTATTTATTGCTATTCTATTCTTTTATTTTCTGTTATTTTTTATTCTGTTCTATTCTGATCTGTTTATTTATTTTCTATTATATTCATTTATTTTCTATACTGTTTATTGTATTCTTTTATTTTCTATTCTATTCTGTTTTGCTTTACTCTATTCTGTTCTGTTTTATTCTATGCTATTCTTTTGGAAATTCAGATTTTGGAAGTTGGCCATATTCTAACACTAATACACAAGAAATCAGCAATAGTTAGCAATATGGTTATATTTCAAATTTGTTTTCAAATTCTATTAGAATTTTGTCTTGATTTGTGTTACAATTTTACTGTCTTTATATTTTAAAGTGCTATGCAAACCATTGGTGCTACATAAGTCCTGTATAATGGTTAAACTGTTGTCACTGTGATAGTGAAAGAAATTCTCTTTAACCACTTGCTCTCCAGAGGATTTGCCCCCCTTCCTGACCAGGCCATTTGTTGTATTACGGCACTGCGTTAGTGTAACTGACAATAGTACGGTCATGCAACGCTGTGTCCAAATGAAATTTTGGTCCTTTTTTCCCACAAATGGAGCTTTCTATTGGTGGTATTTGATCACCGGTGCGGTTATTTTTTTTGCGCTATAAACATAAAAAGACTGACAATTTTGAGAAAAAAACAATATTTTTTACTTTTTACTATTGAACACGTCTAGTACAAAAAATTTAAAAATCGAATTTCGTCATAAATTTAGGCCAAAATGTATTATGTGACATATCTTTACTAAGAAAAAATCCCAATGCATGTCAATTATTATTATACAGGATTTATATATCGCAGTTATATATAACAGTTTGCTCAGCGCTTTACAATATAAAGGGAGACAATACAGCAACAATACAAGATTGCAAGTTCAATACAAGAGGGTTAGGAGGGCCCTGCTCCTTGGAGCTTACAATCTATTAACTGGTTTACGTGAAAGTTATAGCGTTTACAACTGGTGGTATAGATACTGGTATTTTGTTTTTTTTTTTACTAGTAATGGCGGTGATCAGCGACTTATAGCAGGACTGCGGCGGGCATTCTGACACTGGGGGGAACTGACTTGGTGTCACTGACATCCCCACTGACACCAATACAGTGATCAGTGCTAATAAAAAGCACTGACACTGTAATAATGGCACTGGGCAGGAAGGGGCTAACATCTGGGGTGATCAAAGGGTTCACTGTGTGCTGTGTGTGCTTTAGTAAGTGTGCTGTGTTTCACTGTAAGCACACTGCTTTGTATGGCTCTGCTATGCAGATCCATACAAAGCAGTGTGCAGGAGCTGACAGGGGAGAGATCTGTATTGTTTATACAAAGGTCTCTCCCCCATCGGAGATACTCGATGATCACCAAGTGCCGTCAAGTAATCACTGGCCAGGACCTGGTGATTGATAGCTGAGGCCACGAATGGCAGAGTGGGTAGGGTGTGCACGCGTTCCCTACCCGGAAATGCAAAATTACGTACAGTGCATCCAGAAAGTATTCACAGTGCTTACTTTTGCCACATTTTGTTATGTTACAGCCTTTTCCAAAATTGGTTAAATTTAATTTTTTCCTGTACATTCTACAAACATAATGACAACATGACAACATGAAAGAAGTTTGTTTTGAAATCTTTGCAATTTATTAAAAATAAAAAAAACACATGTACATAAGTATTCACAGCCTTTGCCATGACACTCAAAATTGAGTTCTGGTGCATCCTGTTCCCACTGATCGTCCTTGAGATGTTTCCACAACTCGATTGGAGTCATGCCTGGAGGAATCCAGGCACCGCTCACCACCTGGCCAATACCATCCCTACAGTGAAGCATGGTGGTGGCAGCATCATGCTGTGGGGATGTTTTTGAGCGGCAGGAACAAGGAGACTAGTCAAGATCGAAGGAAAGATGAATGCAGCAATGTACAGAGACATCCTTGATGAAAACCTGTTCCACAGCGCTCTGGACCCTAAACACACAGCCCACATAACAAAGGAGTGGCCACCGGCCAACTCTGTCAATGTCCTGGAGTAGCCCACCCAGAGCCTAGACTTGAACACGATTGAACATCACTGGAGAGATCTGAAAATGGCTGTGCGCCGACGCTCCCCATCCAGCCTGATGGAGCTTGAGAGGTACTGCAAAGAAGAATGGGAGAAATTGCCCAAAAATAGATGTGCCAAGCTTGTAGCATCATACTCAAAACGACTTGTGGCTGTAATTGGTGCTAAAGGGGCTTCAACAAAGTATTGAGCAAAGGCTGTGAATACTTATGTACATGTTGTTTTTTGTTTTTTTATTTTTAATAAATTACAAAGATTGAAAAAATGAACTTCTTTCACATTGTCATTATGGGGTATTGTTTGTAGAATGTTGAGGAAAAAAAATTAATTGAATCCATATTGCAATAAGATTGTAACATAACAAAATGTGGCAAAAGTTAAGCGCATGTGATTTTGCGCACCCGTGCCACCCTGTAGCAGTATTTCTGCTATAGGGCGGCATAAAATCGGTTAATGAAATTCAGGATAGCAGTAGAAACAATTGAGTACTGTCCGTGATACTTTTTTTTTTTTGTACTAACATACAATTATGAGGACAAGCTTTTGGGAAGTGTCCCCTTCGTCACGGTCCAAGCAGTACTACTCCATATATATATATATATATATATATATATATATATATATAAAAAGTATCACGGACAGTACTCAATGGTTTCTGTTGCAAATGCACTAATACGGCTACAATCACCTCAAGCAGGATAGCAGTAAACACTTCAGAGAGGTTCTAATCCTCCCTCACTCTATCTAAAACTAACAAAAAAAATTGTCTGGACTTACACTTTAAAGTTCAGTAGACACGACAGGTTTACTTTAAGTTCTGGACCTAGTTGAACTGTTGTTTCAGAAGCAATGAATATCAGAAACTGCATAGAAGACACCAAGAGCAGTACAACACGACTGTATTAATTTCATGCTTACAGTGTATCAATCATTGCATCAGTCACAGTTCTGCCCAAAACAATTTGATATCTCGCCTCTAAAAAGTCAATGAATGTACAAATCTGTGGCCAACAGGATCAGTTACCTGCACTGCAAGCCAGGAGAGGAGAGAGGTTTAGTGTGGCTTTGTGTTATTGTAACCATATATACAGTTTTTCAGCTCAACTCATTAGCCTCACGTGTCTGAATCAATATAGATTCTTAACAATTCAATTCCCACGGATTTGATGGTTAAATAAGTTGCCTGGTGTGAAAAACAATAATGTAGGCCAGAATGAACCATTTTGCCAGGTATTTATTATCACTTCTATTAAAGTGGTTGTAAACTCTTACATATACCCCGTGAAGTGACTGGCCTCAGGTGATACACAGAGATCCTCCTACGTAAGTTCTACCTGGTTATTTGCAGCTGTTTGTCTCTTACATCCATGCAAAGTGCAGAATTTACACAGGATCTCTCAGCTCTGAAAAGCAGGGGGTGGGGAGCTGAAGTTACACTGAGTGAGGAGATCTCTGAGAGCTGATTGGAGGGAAGGTACACCCCCCTCCTTCACACAGCACACGGGGAGGGAGCTGAGGCTGTCAATCAGCTGGAGGTCCCTCCCCTATCACCATTTTTGTCTTGGTGTCAGGAAAACCTGTCAGAAGTGACTCATACAGATAGGAAAGGAACATAGCAGCAGACAGAAATGACACTTAATGTTCCTAATTTAGAGTACACACTATAGATGGAAATGCTTTGTTCATATTTAATGTCTGAGATTTACAACCACTTTAATGCTGCTCACTTGGTAGGGAAATTAGTATAGACCTGATGGTCAGGTCTTTAAAAAAATTATATATCATGGTTTGTATTGTGCTGCCACCCTATGGTTTAATTCAGGGTAGACAAACTCAGTTTCATTGTAGACCTCATCAGCATTATGGTTGCCCTCAAAGAGCTGGATGTACCTGTAAGACTATACAACCAGCCACCTTGCATCAGATGTCAAGAGCCCCCTCCCCCCACCCTTAAAGGTCAATTGTTCCCCCGCCCTCCCTTACATCACAGTGCACCCCCTTACCTTGTGCTGCAGCTGGCAAGAAGCTGGGGGTGGAGCTTAGAAGCAGAAAGTGCAGGGTCTGGAGGAGGACCAGAGGAGAGCTGGAGCCAGCAGCTGGAGTCTGCTGCATGCTGAGACCAGGGGAGGCAAAGACAAGGGGGTGCTGTGGCTACACAAAGAGGCGCAGGATTTTTAGGAGGAGTTCTGTCCTCCTGTCTGCTGCTGCCTGCTGAGATCGGGGTGGGGGGGGACAAAGACGAGCCTTTATGCGACTGCCGAGAAAAGCACAGGATCTGAAAGAGGAGTTCAAGGGTGGAGACAAGCGGTTTTCACAGGTGCAGAAAAGGTGTGAGGGCCACATGAAATGGCCTGCCGGGCTGTATTTGGCTTGCGGGCCTTGTGTTTGACACGTGTTAAGTAAAGGAATTGTTCCTGTTTCCAGTGTTTCCCCTTGCCCTGAATGGCCAGAGGTCACATATTCCAAAGCTAGAGATAAGCAAACTGCTCTATAAAAGTCAAACTCATGGTGGATTAAGCTGGCCTACTTTGAAAATACCTGGGCTGCACAATTTGATCAATGGCAGACATTGTTCTCAACGGGCTCCAGGGCCTACATGACATGGGTGGAAGGGGAACCAGACAACATGGAGTTGATTTGTTTAACCACTTCCTGTCCGGACATTTTTACCCCCTTCCTGTCCAGGGCAATTTTCAGCTTTCAGCTATCACACTTTGAATGACAATTGCGCAGTCATGCAACACTCTACGCATATTAATTTTTTACCATTTTTTTGAGACAGATAAAGCTTTATTTTGGTGGTATTTATTCACTGCTGGACTTTTTATTTTTTTGCTATGTAAATGAAAAAGTCCAAAAATTTTGAAAAAAAAAAATGTTTTCTTTTAAAATTTTGCAAAAAAAAATAAACTTTCATCATAAATCTTGACCAAAATGTATTCCGTTATCTTTTTAGTAAAAAAAAAATAAATAAGCCAAATTAGTTTATAACCAAAAATTATAATTTTTAAACATTTTTTTTACATTTTTATTTTATTTTTTTATACTATTTTTTTTGTTTTTTTTTTTTTTTACATACTGTCACCCTAGCAGTAAAGTGTCACCATGGTGACACTGTACTACTTGTGGGGGATGATGAAGATTTTTTTTTTTTTACAGTGATTGCTTTTATACCCATATAGGATGTAAAAGCAGTAATTTCTCTTTCTCTCTGTCTGCATTCTTGCAGCCATTGAGAACTACTGAGTGAGCTGTGATTGGTCACAGCTTGTCACATGGTACAAGCCTGTTGTGAATAGCCTTGTACCATGTGATCTCTGTGATCATTCACAGATTTCACACATAGTAAGCAATGATGTCACAAGTGACATCTTGCTTACTACTTTGCATGTGATCACTGATTGGCCGATCCGTGATCACATGATCGGGACCTCGTACAGAGGTCCCGTCCGACGATCATTGTTTCAGTGTGTCTGGAGGACACAGCGGACACCGGATCGCGGTGCTGTGCGCTCCCAGGGAGCGCGCACAGCTAGAAATGGCGGGTACCGTTTATGAACGGCAACCCGCCCCTGGAGTGCCACCGTCCTGCCGTTTATTAACAGCAGGCGGATGGCAAGTGGTTAATAAGAAACTTTAAATTGAGGCACTTACAGGATTGGTTAGAAGAGCTTGGAAGGGTAGACTGCCTGGTATGCTATGGTCAAGCCTTTGATAGATTGATATATCCTGTATTGATTGTGTTTCCATCCCGTGTTTTAGGCAACACAAGGTCACAAGGTCACATGGTCTGCTATTGCAACATTGTCTTTTGAAGCTTGCCATGTGTGCTCATGTAGCGCCCCATAGTAGGCTACAAGTGTTAAGTTAATTTTGTTTTTGGCCTCCCTGTACTCAGGGAGAGCAGTGATTGTTTGTTAGTGTCTGTTCTAGGCTCTGCTAGTGCAGGCCCAGCTACTATCACTTGCATCTCACTGAATTCTAGCATATAGTGGGCGGAAGAGCTTTGACTTTGGCCTTCTTATTTATGCTGCTTCAGCCAATCCCTGGTTAAGAGAGTGAGCGACCAGCATGGGACTGAGGGGGGTAAAACAAGTTTGGTCCTGGAACAGCTATCTTTT